TTTTCAATAAACAAACCATCAGTTTAAGAAAAGACTCCTGAAATTATTGTTGGGCTAGAATCTAGACAAATAAATCAAAATGCACCCCAGGCAATGTGTCCACAAACTTGCCATCTATCAAGAAATTCTTAATCCACTATTCAAGGAAAAATCTTGGACTCTGCAGAACAGAATATTTGCTAAAAGGGAGCATACCTTGGTGTTGGGGCTCAAGAATATCCAAAGGATGCCCCCCCTGAGCAGTAAAATAACGTAATGGAAATAATTGGCCATTTATACTCTTCAGAATCTGCTGTCTCAACCCAACTAACTATGGAGGAAACTGAGGCAGAGCTTGCCATGCTGGTGAATCATGGTAATCATTGGGTGGAAGAGCAAAAACAGCCGCCAATTTTGTGCTTACTAACTACTTGGGTAAAATTATTTCTGTAAGATTCTTATTCCATTTTCCCATGGATTTTTACAAGGGCAGATTGCTATTTTCTATCCAAATGGGCTTCATCCTTCCACACAGAAGATTTGAGACTAAATGAACACCAGTTGTGTGGAAGATTTGCATCGGAAAAACACACTCTTGACCAGCCTTCTGCTGTGTGGCCTCATCGAGTCCCACCTCTGGGTGAGTACTCTTGGCTACATCTCACACCATCCTGCACCATGGTGGGTACTCCCCATTTTAGCAGTCTCCAATGTCCCTTTGCTGACCCCCCCCCCCACACACACACACACAAGGCTCCCCAGCCTACTCTGGAGACCTGTTGGCCTTATCTACTGTTCAGGAGCAATCTACTTCCTTTCTGGTTTTTAGTAAAACTGAAGATAAAATAATTCTACCTCTTCAGTCATATTATGTCTTCTTAGAGTTATCTCTTAAGGAGGTTATAAAAGACTTTTCTAGTAACTCACCCCCTCTGAAATATATATAATACCTGAACTGGTAAAGGAACCAGTTTTCCTTCCCTTTCTCCATTGTCTATTTTGTCCTGGGCAAATTATCTGCCAATATTTCACGTAACATTTTAATTGCTAAAGAAAGTGTGTCAAGTGGTTGACAAACATAACCGCCATGAGAAAAAAAAGGATTAATTTAAGGGCGGGGACATATGGGAAAACACATAGATTTACACCACAGATTTAACATGATAAAGCAGCAAGGATGGAGAATCACTTTTGACTAATGTCATGGGGCCCTTGGCTTAATTTTGCCTTCGACCACCACCACCCTCAGGCAGAGGATCTGTCCAGAGCTATGGGTCTCTTCTCCACAGCCTCAGTTATACTAAACATAGGACCACCAGATCTGGGCTATAAAAATCTGGATGACCACAAAAAATCTGGACGACCACAGGATGCCAGGAAAAAGTCAATAGTTTTTTGCATCTCTATTCCTATTATTTAATGTCAGCAAACAAGGATTTTGAGAAAGATTGGGCAGGTCTCCACGCACTTTTGCCTCTGGCTCTGTGCACGGCTTCTTTCAGCCCCACCCACCATGCCCTTCATGGAAAAAACGCTTGCTCGCTCTCCTTTAGTGAGAACCAAAGTGAAAGTCAACAGAGAGGAGTCAGCAACCTCAGCTAACCGCAGTCTCAGGATTAGGGCTGGTTGGAGGACTTTTTGCTCCTGGAACTGTGGGATAAATTGGAGGACCTGATGACATGGCTTTTGGCAAAGTGGGCTCCTTTGGAGGGCACCTGGCAAATGTATCCTCCATCATCTCTTTGCAGCTTCCTTCTCCTCCTTCTCCATCACCTAGTCACTTTGTCCTGCCCAATTTTAAGAGCAGCTGTGCTATGCTCCTGCGGGGCAGCCCTGACCTTGGCACAAGCTGGTACAATACAGACTTTAGGAACAAAGAACGGAAAAGTGGGTCTGAAAGTGTGCAGAGGTAGTAAGTGTAACTGAGTGTGGAACAGCCAATAGTTAAGGCAAAAGAGTCAAGTCAAATCAATCTGGTTCCTTTTAAATGATTCTGCAATGAGTGTGTCAGTGTTTCTCAATCTTGGAAACTTTAAGATGTGTGGGCTTCAATTCCCAGAATTCCCCAGCCAGCGTGCTAAAACATGAAAAATAATGGAGTAACTCATTTGCCTCCAGGAACAAAGTGCCCCTGAAATTTTAAAACTCTCACTGCTCGGACAGCACGTTTATTGTCAGAAGCCACTACATAAAAATTGCTTTGTAGTCTTTTGTTTTCTTCTTCCATATCAGCAGAATGTTTAACTTTATTTTTACTTTTGTTTTGTTTTGTTTTGTGATTCTGTTCCCAATGGGTGGGGAGAAGTCAAAGAAGCAGCCAAGCTGAGCGGGCAGAAGTATTCTTACACCCCCTTCAGGAAAGTGTCAGCATTGCAGCATTTTTGAAAATTATCAAAACTATTGTGTCTATTATTAATAAGTAATAGACCTTATCCTTACAAAGAAATATTTATTCCAAACAGTGAAGGGAAATTTAAATTAAGAAGTTGCTCCTAGTTTTTATAACTGGGATACAGGCATTTAAACTTTGTTGCATAAGTTTCTCTTTCTGTATATAGTAATTTCCCACTTTCCTGGGAAAGCATTTCTGGTTCTTTCACCTCTGGAAAAATTATGCAATATGATTTCAGGTTACAGTTCTGTACAAAATGACAGAAGGCTTATTTTAAGTGGTTAGACTAGTCTTCAGTCCAGAAGACTTCAATTCCTACAATCCCTGGCTAATATGGGAACTAAATTCTAATACGGTACTTAACGGTACTAGCAGAAAAAACCCAGCTGTAGAAGGCCTAGTTGGATTTTTGGACTATATTTCAGAAATGATGGGGCCCTCTTCAGTCATACAGCCTGACGATCTGTTATATGCTGCATTGTAGTGTTGCCAGTGGACATGTTTAATTGTTCTATGTCTGTGTGTATAGAGTTATACAGTACTTTCCAGATGAAATTGGTGGGAGGGAGACTTGCCTCTTTCCATTATGGTCAAATCTAAAATAGGATTTTAAACAGAGGCATGACCACAATACATTATATAAAGGCATATTTTTCATTCTTCCAGATTCCTAGTTCTGCAGTCAGAAGCTATTAGGTTTCATTCATCTTTTCACCCTTCGAGATTATTCTGTAGGAGAAAAATGATGGGGGAAGCAATGGGAAAGTTAGAAAAATGTTAGCACTGTGCTGACAACTGAAAATATTTACTAAAGTACAGTACGGTACTCATATCTCATACATGTTGAGGATACAGTAATCCAAGTCTTTATTAAATCACTGAAACAACACATTTCAAAACCAGATGACTAATCAGCTAACAGTTCTTCAGTTGAATACTTGCAATATCAATATTTTCACACTGAAACAGATGAAATATGAATAAAGCACATTGGAGCATGTGCAGAGTACTTTTAGCACATTCTCAAAGAGTCAGTTTCCATGCGCATCTGAAGTACTGGGAAAAGTAATTCAAGACACGAGAAATCCAAAAACTTTGTTCTAAATCAATTTGCTAATTTTCCTGGGTTTACCCATCTTGATAGCTGATGTAGAGGTAGTTCTTGACTTACAACCACGATTAGGATTAGAATTTCCATTGCTAGGCAAGGCGGTTGTTAAGTCAGTTATGCACAATTTTTTTGCCATGATTGTTAAGTGAACTGAATTACTGCAGTTATTAAGTGAATCACACATTTGTTATGCAAATCTGGCGTCCCCTACTGACTTTTCTTATCACACGCCATGTGAGAATGTCGCAAATGGTAACCCCAGGATGCAGCACCAGTTCTAAATACATGCTGGTTGTTAAGCTCCTGAAATTTGATCACATGACTGGCAGATGCTGCAACTGTCATAAGGGCAAGGACCAATGGTACCCTTGTAACTTCAAACAGTCACTAAACAAGTGGTTACAAATTGAGGACTACCTGACTGCTCATTATAATGTACTTCAAGTTTCTACCTAGACCAACCAAATGGGGAGAACGAAGCTATAAAAAGGCAGCCTGGAATCTACTTGGGCTGAGGAACAAATTTCTAATGATTGTTTCCCAGAAGTCCAGTTAGACACGATAGGCACTAATATAATTTTTAAAGGAATATAGTACCTAGCTTCATGGAAGATTGTACTTAGGGTTACCAGTTCTAGCACCTCACTACACTTCAGATGCTTCTGGATCAGATTAGCCAACTATAAGCTGTTGCCCAAGGAACACCCGAATGTGGCTCCTTTGGAATTGTGATGACATGCACACAGCAACACATATGTATACCTGTCCTTTGTATCCTGATCAATGCACAATTGAGGACCTCATGACACCACGACGGAATGCAATGAATGTTACTAGTTTCTGGGCAAGGTCTGTTTCAATTGTACATATTTTAATCTTGTATTTTATATTTTAAATGTTATGTTGTATAGTATGCCTTATTTTAATTGTGATGCTTCTGACACTAATAAAGGAATAGGATGTAGGATGCAAAATTCCAGGCCATCACTAAATGGTTCTCTGCTACCACCATTCAGTGGTCATTCAGAGTTTTGCAATCCATTTAAGGTAGCCCTGATTAGTCTGACAGCTATCTTATGGGCCATGCAGAGAATGTGTACCTTGTGTCTTTCCAGTATGCCAGCAGTAGTTGTGACTCATTCACCCCACCAAAACTGAATCAAGTATTCCCATGCTAGATGGCCCCCCTTAATTACATGTATGGGAAATCAATATACGGTAGAATGTGGAAAGAGCAAGAAAGAGCACACAGTTAAAGGAGGACGGGTTTTCCTTAATACAAACCTTTACAACAAAAGTAAACACCCAGGGTTAAATATATGCAAATGTAAACATGGGAAGCACTGAAAGATGGGGTAAGGGGAAAATAATGATACAAGATTTGGGCAACACAATCCTTGACTACTTCATATGGCAGCAAAAAAAAAATGGATAAAATGTTAGCTCTTTCCTATCCTCTAGTGGTAATTCAATTTTTGCAGCCAATATTTGGTAGCCCTGGGAAAGAAGGGAAGAAAAGTGACCCCCCCCTTCTATCCTTGCCTCTCCCCCACCCTTCAATTCATTTTGATGAGGATTTGTTCAGAGAACAGTTTTTTCAGCTGGGCCACTTCAGCTGAAAGTGAGGCCAGCTGACTTTGTAGGGACCGGTTCTCTGCCTGGTACTCAGGCTCTTGAGGGGCCCCGGGGACTTCTGTTTCACTATTACTCTCAAATGCCAGGGTACCTGCAGAACACCCTGTGCTTGGCTGCTCCTTCCGTGTCACCAGCCCCCTCCATGGTCCTCCTGGTGGAGAAGGTGGGCAATGTCCAGATTGTTCTCCAGCTATCTCCTCTGACCCTACCGCCATTTTGAAGCGCAACTTGTGGGGAAGACCTTTGATGCTCTCCCCAGAGTCGTAACGGCCAACACGGCCCAGATCAGCTCCATCAACTGAAGCATCGGGTACTAGGCAATGCCTCTCATACATAATTCCTTCCTCTGACCTATCACGTTCCTCAAAAAAGACAGGACTTCCCAGGTTGGAGCTTCCTGGGGTAGAAAAGCCAGAGTCCTCAGAGCTGGTAGCTGGCTCTGGATGGAAGGTGCAAGGATAGCGGGGTAGTTCAGGAGCCACTGGGAAGTGCTGGGGTAGAGTGGCTGACCGATGGAGTTCACTGGCCAGTGTAAGCGCTGGCTGTGGAGCTTCTGCTGGATCCTGGATCAAGCCAAAGCGGAACTTGAGGGCTAAGAGTTCTGCCTTCAGGCGGGCATTTTCCTCCAGCAGGGCCAAAACTCGTCCTTCCAGGGCTAAATCACTGACCCGCCGTTTCTCTCTCGAGCGTTTGGCTGCTTCGTTGTTCTTCTTCCTCTTGTCCCAGTAGCCATCATCCTTCTTCTCATCTGGGGTGAATTCTCGCTTGCGCCGGGCCATGGTTGAAGGCACCCCTTGCTCTTTCTGCTGTGCCCCCAGGCTGCCAGCTGCCCTGAGCAGGGACTGGCTTAACAAGCTATTGACAGAAAGGAATGACACAGTCTCCTCTGCAAAACAAGACACGGCAGCCTGGAGCTCACACACTGGCTCAGAAGTTGGAAGTGCTGATAGAGGTGCTGATAGAGGTTCTGATGGAGGCTGGGTTGGAGGTTCCTCCAAAGGCAGATCCATCTCCCCAAAGTCTGCAAAATGAGAAGAAGGAAAGCAAATCAGAGCATGTTACAGCTATACGCACTTGGGGAATGCCAGCAAGGTCAAAGAGAAGGACATGCATATGCCTAGCCTGCTGTTTGGTGGCCAAGTGGTTAGAGATCTCTGTAGTTCTGAATCTTGGGTATATGCTGTGCCCCCAGGCTGCCAGCTGCCTGGGGGCACAGCTTCGAGGCCTCAATCATAAGACCACCTAATAGAGGAAATTTAGAAAACCCCAACTATTTGTTGCTCTCTGGTGGCTGCTTTGATAACACTTGATATCGCTATTCATTACAGAAAGATGCAGTCCCATAACACACTAAATTAACTGCACACAAAATCACAGCAAAATATGAGGTTTCTAGACAATTGCTATATCTCTACATATCTAAAAGGCAGAGAGGCAATCTTTAAAATGTTAACATTTATTAGTCATTCCTAAGATGCTTTTAATGGCATATTCATTTATCCTCAGAATAGTCATCTAATAAGATAACTTACTATTTACGACTCATCTACAGATGGGCACCACCACCTCAGTTCCTGCTGCGCTGTCTCATGGGGAGGTTCGGGAGGGGAGGTGTCCTGGGAGGGATGAGAATGTCAATGTATGCCCAGGGTATATATTCCCACCCAAGGCATGAAGGTCACCCCAGCTATACAGCTAAAGCAAACAGACACCTATAGTGAGCAGCAGTGATACAGGAAAAGGCTGGAGGCAAAGGATCACTTTAGTGACCACAGAGAAGGCATCCATTCATGCTGTGTGGGAGAAGGCAATGGTAAACCACTCCTGCACTTTTACCAAGAAAACCACATGGGCAGAGAATATGAAACATTTGATGGCACAGTGCTGGATAATGGACCCTTCAGGTCAGATGGCATTTAATGAGGAACAGCTGAGGATCTTTTGGGGTACTAATGGTACGGTATTTATGCAGTGACTAGATTAAAATATTTGGGATATCTAATTGCTGATCTTGCCATTCAGGAAAAAAAAATCCAAAGCTGCAAAGGCAGAATTACAGTAGGAACAGGGAATGTAAGAAGCATAAACGGAAGAAAACTGAAATATGAAATAAAATTACCATATAGTAACATGTTAGGCATCAGTGAATTAAAATGGGCCAGGATTAAACACTTTAATCAGAAGATCACACTGCTTATTACTTAGGATGTGAAAAACAATGAAGGAGTGGACTTGCTTTTATAGTTAGGAAGGACACAGTAAGAACAGTACTTGGCTACAATACATTCAGTCACTGAATAATACTGAGTAGATTTTTGTGAACAACCTTTTAATGTGATAATCATCCAGATTTATGCTCTTGATACAAATTTGTGATCACTAATACAAAAGAAGAGGAGGTTGATGAGTTTTAAGATCAAGTTAAATTTGAAATTGACAGCCTGCTGGCAAGTTGTGCTGCTTGTGATTGGGGACTGGAATGGCAAGGTTGGAAATACTGAGGAAAATGTAGTTGGACCGTATGGCTTAAGAAATCAAAATGGAACAGTAGAACAACCTATTCATTGCTGCTGGTCCAATTAGTTCTTCATAGCTAACACAGACTTCAAGGACCATTGAAAGACGATGAGTATAATTTTAAAACGAGCAAAACAGCCAAGAAATACATAATAGTCTGCATTTGGTAGAGCAGCCATGAAGGCCTTGGAAAAGATATTCAATTGCTGTGATGTGTCTATATTGTATCGACAAAGGTCAAAATAGTGCAAGCAATGGTATTCCTTGTGACCCTCTATGAAAGCAAAAGTTGGACTTTGAAGGCGTAGGATAACTCTTTAAAACCATTTCTCAGAGTAGTTGACTAGCAATGCCTTAAAGATTTACATTTTATTTTGTTAGAAATTCAAATAATTTTATCTTCTACCTGATACACTATGCAAAATACATTTGTTTGGCCCAAGGCTACCTACAGACAGTGTGGACTTTTTTAGGCTATCCACTGTGGGGATTTTTTTTTTAAAAAAGAAAAGATTCTCCAATAAGAAACAAAAACAAAATTCATATGGTAGCTGTAATACAACTATTGTGCAACATCACATTAAAGTTGTGATCAGATAGAGCATATTACATAAATAAAATTTAATTCATGATTAAGGGATGGGGTCTTCAGCATGGCACACCTCAGTAGCACTTAAAGACATATATAAAGCACACTAGAAAAATAAGTGGCAAAACAGCGAGCAATGTCACTACAGAGTCTATGTTTACAATCAGCCCAGGTTTCAACAGCAAATAGAAATGTTTATCTTCAGCCCTGCCTCAAATGAGGGCAATCTTCTCCTGGCTTTTAGAAAAGAGTAAAGGTTTATTTCCTTATTCTGCATTCTAGGCTCTGTCATAACTAGGACATGCTACCCCCTCTCCCACCCACAGCTTACCCTATTACCCAGTTCATCTGGAACATCCTGGCCAAGAACAGGACAAGACATGCTATTCTATCAAAGGAGCCTGGGCAAAAACTCAATTCAGTTAACAAAATCATCAGAAAAGCCACAAATTTGCCCTCCCACTGCCATCCCTAATATTATTTACTGCTCTGACAGGCTGTTTCACTGGGCAGGATTGAAATACTTATCCACAAGGCCTTGAACTGGCAGAGCTACAGAGTGTAGCTTATAGCAAGATGTTCACATTACAGCTATCCATGCAAGTGATTTATAGCTTCATTCAATGATTCCTATGGTGATTACATGCTAATGCAGACAAAACTGCAATGGCTAGACAATGCTACAAATCATTAACCAAGGGGGGGTCTTCTTCACAGTTGAATTATACTAATATTTACCAGTTCTTTTGCTGAAAAAGTACTATCACAAACCGAAAAGCCACTGCTGCCACTGGCTACCTCTAGTCTGCTTCAGGAAGGTTGCCAGCACATGCGTTGCCTTTATTTGCTGTATACAGGGAATGTTTGAAACTCATGGATTCCCCAGCGTTGTTCTCATTCTGAGGGGGTCAGTTTAGGGACCAGGTGAGTACTGGAAGAGAGCCATATGTGGAAGAACTGGATCTTCCTATTGCCCAGAGCAGAATGGCCTTAGAAAACAGTGCCTGGGCCTCAGGGCAGAAGTGCCTGCGTTAACTTAAAGAAGACAGTACAGTACCCTGACCCCATTTCCTCAAGGCAAACTGATTGTGACTCCAAGCAAATACTTGAAGTACTTTGCACCCACAGCCAAAATACATCTGGTCTGCTTAGAAAGGGAAATGCTACTTTAAAACCAGAGCAGCCGAAAACAACTTTGACCTGCCTTAAGAATGGGTTTGGAATGAGATGAAGGTGACATCATGAAGAAATAGTAATTGGTGGGGCACATTTGTGTCATGGTTGGGTGCAAGAGGGGAAAGGCCTGATGAATACATGATATGAAGGAGAACTCCATATTCCTCTTGTGAACATTGATTCTTTATGAACTACTTGTTCACTGACGCTTACCCCACACCAGTGGAATCTGGGTCATAGGCAGCCTTGAGACCAGTAATTTGACTAGATGGAAATCTGTTAAGAGAGGCATTTTTGAGCCTTGGGGGAGGGAAGAAGGGGGGGAGCCTTGATTTTCAGACTACCTGAGTTGCAGCTCTTGAAGGAAAAGCAGTATTTCAAGGTACCTATGTCTTATTCTGAAAACATATATTGAAGAGCCAACAATATGTTCAGCTCCAAAAGGATGACCTTTCTATCATTTGGAAAAACAAGGAGTATGAAATACTTTTACCGGATTATCCAAAGATTTTCTCCAGCATCTGCTCTAACAACATCTATAACCACAGCGCAGCATGGATTTTGCACATGCTGTGTACTTAAAGAGTTAAGTTCTGCACTAAGTCCCAGTGTTTCAGAATAGTTTCAGAGCAAATACAACATACCTCTATCTCCTCCAATATAGATCTTCCATTGAGAACAAATGGAGTGGCTACAGAGTGCTGGCTTCCTATGGAAGTTCGAGTATGTAATGCTGCATCTAGGTAAGTGAAGAGAACTCCACAAAAATATACATTTTTGATCAATCCAGGGGATTTAATATGCACAACACTATAACATTAAACCATACACTGTTTCTGTAGTATTTCATAAAATTTACAACCTTCTTATCACCACTTGTAGATATTGTATGAAAAGAGCTGTATTAGTTTATGATGACAAAAAATCAGGAGCCTGGTAGCACCTTTTTTGACTTACAGTTCACTTCATCAGATACTTAGAGTGGCTAGACTGGTGTAGAATTTAAAACTGGATGTGAATTCAATTCATCAAAAGATTTCAGGCAATCTCAGAAGGTTTCAACAAGCACAACAAACACTACAATTACAATTATAAACTGATAAGTTGCTTGTAATCTGTGTGATATGTAATCTGCAGATTTTTGTGCAGATTTGTCTTCTCTCCCCCTCCCCTACCCCACTTTATATCACCACTTGGACAGTGTGTGGTGTCACAACATTCTACACACATCACATGAGCGTATCAAAATACTATATAAGAATACTATGTAAGCATATCAACATTCATATCATTAAAATAATTTGACATTGTTTAAATCACATCTGTCATCCCAAATTTTCCAAGTAAAGACTATTTAAAAATAAAATGATATGGTATAAAATAAAGAGCATGCACTGCATTAATAAAGAGCATACATTATTATATACCAGAATCATCAGTGTATGTCTACACTAACCCAGACATCCAAAGCATCAATTTTTTTAAAAAAAGAAGTAAATAACCAGGTAGGCTTAAACTTATCCACAGTCAGTTTATCTTCCAATTCTGCGAAAAACTCTTATTCCAAGTGACAGACGGGAGACAACTTTGCTTAGCCATTCAAAAGTCCAAGGGAAGCGTGCTTTGCACATGCTCAGAGGCATGTGCTGTCCCTAATAAAATAGGGGGCGCCAAGCCTTGAATAGAAAGAGATCCAGAAATGCAGGTCGAGAGCTGGGGAAGGGGGGGGGGTGCTTCTCTTTCTTTGTTCCCTCGGCAGATCGGTGGGGAGAAACCCGAAGAAGCGGACAGGTCCTATGGTGAAGTGCGTGTATGGGGGGGGGGGCGGTCCCTTGCGTTCTCCTAGAGCTAGTAACGGGTTACTGGGCGCTTCTGTGTAAGGCAGGGAGGCAGCGAAGGAAGACCGGGAGGAAAAGAGGGCGGCGGGTGGACAGAATGAAGTGGGGCAAAGAGGAAGAAGATCACAAACATACGAACAAAGGAGCAGAGCCACGCCGCTCGCCCTTGCGAAAGTAGTCTGCAATTAAGCGCAGGAAGTGATTTGTTGATCCAGTTCTCAACAGAAGCGACCTCTATCCTGCGCTATCTCCTCGTACACTGTTATTTTAAGCGGAGTTGCAATTGTTCGCAACTACGGGTCCTCTGAGTAACTGAGAGACGGAGTACAACCCTCCCTCTCCCAAGTCCGAGATTCTCTGGAGCAGGAAGAGCTGGAATGAAACCCGAGAGCGAGAGACAAGTCTAAACGCATCACTTTGCGGTACGGTAATGGACGCGATATTTGAAACTACATCAGCCCCCCATAAACTTGTAAGCAAATAGAA